GGGTTCTGATCATAACGGAGGAGTTACCCACTGCCCCAAGACAAAGCAGCTCCAGGGCCAGCTGAGCGTCCAGGGAAAGAAACCTATGCTCTCTGCCTTGGTTTGCAACTCAAAACCTCCTTTCTGGGCTGCTAGGGGCCGTGTGCCCTGCCCCACCTCTTCCCTCCTTTGGCTGTCCCCTCATCCAAGCACCAGTGCTCTGGGCACCTGCCCGTCCTCGGTCATCAGGGCAAGGACTTGAGGTAGGGAGTCTCTTGTCGGCAACGTGCATTCATCCACAATAAGGCCTCCTCTGATGCTATTTCACCTCCAGGAAGGAGCCCCAGGAAGCTGAGCCAGCTCAGAGAGGACCCCAATCCTGCCCCTAGCTGGTGGAAGGCAGCCCCTGCTCGGAGCCCGTGGCCTGGGCACCTCCACGCTCCCACTTAGGGCCTTAGGCTCAATGAAACTAGGGGAATGGTGTCAGGTCAAATGAGAGGGAAAGAGATGCCTGAGTGGACAGAATATCATTTTGAGGAACCCGTCTCTATACTGTGTGATTTTCTCTACTAGTCTGTGAGCTCCTTGGTGGGTGTGAGAAACCTGTCTCAGCCACCCTGGGGGGCCCCCAGTGCTCTGCGCGGCAGGGACCAAGCAGTATTTGCTCAGTTCCAAATGTGACTCTTGTAAAGCACAGGGTATAACGTCTCCTTATTCGAGTGTGGACACCCTTCCCCCACCAAGACCAAACCCATCAACCAACCCGACCTCAACCAACCAGCTAACCAAATTCAATCAGCCAACCAACCAACTCACCAATCAACTAACTAATCAACCAACCAAACGAGAAAACAAAGCCCACAGCCTAGCCTAAACGAAGTCTGAGGCTCCCTCACCCCGTTGTTCACCCCCATGTAAAAATCTCTAATGTTTGTTCTTTAAAAGAAAAAAAACTATCACACTTTTTTCTCCCAAAAGCTCTCCCTTCATTAATATAGTCTGTGATTCTAATTAATTTTTTACACTGTGTGCACTAAAGCTCCTTTCCGTAAGTATTTTTGCAAATCCTTTTGACACCGTGGAATTGCATTCTCTTCCTGCTGTCTCCTTTCCCCTCTGACTCTGCAAATGCACACAAAACACGACCCACAGACGTGCCTGGAAACCAAATACTCCAACTGGCAAGACGGTGCAGCTTTGAGATAAAATTAGCTGAGGAGCCTCCTCTCAAAGGGCAAATGGATGGGGAGGGGAAGGAGGCAGAGCAAGGCAGAAGGCCCTGGCGCCCCGAGAGCCGGCCTTCTGCACAAGAACAGGAGGCTGGGATGTTCTCGTAAGGACCCTATGATACTCATTCAGGCCGCCCGCTAACCTGGAGCTTCTGCCAACAGTGAAAGTCAGCGCAATCAGATGAGCACGGGGAGGTCACTGCTGCCTGCCCATCATCCCTCCTCTCCGGTTCCCTGGCTGTCAGTCAGTCCTCACGCTGGTCTCCTCCATTGTCATGTAAAGTGTGTATGCGCAGCCAACAGCCCTGTGTCGCTCTGAGTGGCCAGGAATCAGGCCTGACAAAGAATGTGGAATGAATGGAATCTAATTCCCTTCTCTGGAGGGGCTCGGCCTGTCAGGTGTCAAAGCCTCAGCTAAATGCAAGGTCTTTAAAAAAAAATAACCAAACTCCAGCTCTGGCTCTAATCATGGGTCAGATTTCTGGGCCATCGAGGCTCTACTGAAACAGCCCCCACACGGCTCTGCACCGGGCGAAGTCTCGGGGTCAGAAGAGCTGTTTGCAGGACGTTTCCACCCCGTGCTGTGAGCCTCTCGGGGGCGTCAGTTATGCTTCCCAAGAACTGGGATGGCACCAGGGACGCCTGTCAGCTCTGGAAACAAGGCAAACTCCTACTGAACTCCTCCAGAGATTAAGTGTCCATCAGAAACTAGGCTGGGGGTCTGCAGCGTAGGGGACAGGGGGCACCCCACGAGCAGGCCAGGGATGGACAGATGCAAGCATTTCCCGACAACCGGGATCTAAGCCGGCACCTGGTCCCGGCCTCAGTCCTCCCAGGTGACACTGGAGAGGAGGCGCTGACTCTGTGGGTCTCAGCCTCCCCTTTGGTGAAATCCGTCTTGGACTAGAAGCCTACTCAGGCTCCTGGCTCTGGTAGGCTCTGTGCCTCAGTTTCTCTACACCCATCTATCTCATAAAAAGAGACTGTACGAGGATAAGCCACTCTCCACTCGTTGGCACGCTGGAAGGTCCTTTCGTGGCTGCATTTCTATTTCTGACACTAGTCACCACTCCCCCATGGCTCAAGAAAGGGTTTGCCTCCAAGTTACCACGGGGGCTTATGTCAGAGAAGGTAAAAACAATCCGAACTGTTTGGAAAAAGTAATATATACACACAGATACTTGACAGAGAGAGTGTGTGCGTATAAGGTCTCATCTGCTTGAACTTTTATACTCATTTAGCATTTTTATAAATTTAAAAAGCAAAAATATTTAATGAGTAAGTAAGAACACGCAATTTTTCTTTGAAACATCCGGTGGCATGGGAAGAATGAGAATGTCATCAGAAATAAGCAACATCAGACCACCGGCTTAAGAAATAGAGATCTTTCCTTCAGGGCTGTGGGTTTACCAGCACAGAATGAAATGAAACAGAATGAAAACAGCTCCCTTTGGTGATGTGGTTATGAACCTCGCTTTCTTTTCTAGTACTTATTTGTAGGTCAGTGTTTCGCTGACTTCTCAGTGGGCCCCGCGCCTGGGCCAAGTTCTCTGCCCGCCGTGGCTGGCCACTGCCGCACCCCTGCTTGGCCCCCGGGGCTTCCGCAATTCTGTGCAGAAGCCGTGAGCCAGCTGTGCCTCCCCGCTCCTGGGCCTGAGGTCTCTGCCTCCACACACAGGGGGTCTGATGAGGCAGAACGTGATGGGGTTCCAGGCATCCCGCCCAGCACTCAGGCGCACACGTGCACGGCCCCGGCCCCTGGGCCTCTCCCGCGTTCACGGGCATCACCAAACACTTTCAGGATGCCTATGTACAAGTGGCTGCTATAAAGAAGCTTCTGAAGAAGGGACCAGCAGCACTGCTTACCTGCACCTGGAGGTGCTGGGAGCCCCTACCGAGGCCCTCAGCCTGGAGAAGGTGCTTACACACCTTCGTAGGAGCTGAACATACGAATGAGGCCCCTTCCTCTCCAGTGTGGCTAGAGGGTGAGGCCCAGATATAAAGAGATCAATCAAGAAGGTACAGAAGGGGGCCCTGGGTGGCTCAGTCAGACCTCCGACTCGTGATTTCGGCTGGGTCCTGATCTCGGGGTCGTGGGGTCGAGCCCGGGGTTGGGTTGCATGCTCAGCGGGGAGTCGGCTTGGAATTCTCCCTCTCCCTCTGCCCCTCTCCCTGCTGATGCTTTCTGTCTCTTTAAAATAGATGAATAAATGTTTAAAGAAAAAAAGAAGTTATGGAACGACATAACCCGGGATGGGGGGACTTACGGTGGAGCCGCCCACAGGGGACAGGCCAGAAGGCACGCTGCCCAGAGCCGGTGCACGCGGGCGGCACAGGGCCTTCCGAGTGCCCACAGCCCGCACGGAGCACGAACGCCCCGACCGCACGCTCACCCAGCACGGGATTCATGGAGCGCCTGATGCGTGCCAGGAGCTCCCGGCGCAGCAGGAGACAGCGGACAGCCAGAGCCGAGGTCCGACAGGGCAGCGGGATGGGACAAAGCAGCGCTGCGGTCAAGGCCGCGGTGGGGGGTGGGGCGCAGGAAGGCCCGGCTGAGGGGCAGGGGCGCCCTACCTGTCTGGTGTCGTTCTCTCGGCAGCCCTGCAGCTTTATGACAGAGCCGGGCGCCCGGTCCACCACCGTCAGGCACAAGTCCATGTGCTTCACCGACTTCTCCTTCGTCAAGGCCCATTCCTGGAGCACAACAGCGGAGGTCAGGGCCGCGCCACACGCAGCGCTGTGAGTGACGGGGCCCCGAGAGGGAAAGGGTCATGCTGCTAAGCGGAGACTCCGAGCCCCCAGCCAACGCAGGGCTGACACACGACTTCTTACCGAAGGGCAAATCTCTACCTGGGGGTGCCAGGGGGAGCCTCCCAGCGTAGCACCAAGTTCACCGACTGATGTGACTGAAAGGGCTTTGAGAACACAAGTAACTAAGATAAACAGTGTGAACTATTTTAGCCCCTGGTGCAAATCTGAGCACCACACCCAGTTTTCTACCACGAAAGGTGACCTGGAAACAAAGTGGCCCATGCGTGGATCCCCCAAGGTAGACAGTTCAGGGTCGACTTTTCCACCTGCATTATTTTGGAAAGACTCTGCCCCCCTGCAGGTGTGGTTTGGAAACAGCCTTTATGAATGTGGATTGTAATGTGTGAAAATGATAAATTATACATGGCCCATTTAAGCAAAATGTGCAGCACGTAACCTTACTACTGAGCAGTGAGTTGACTGGCTGATGCTCACAAAGGTCTGAGATCCCTAAATCTGTGTACTTACACACACACCCCTTGTGCTAACACCAGGCGCCTACTGTGTGCTGGGCACCACTGTATGCCCCACGAGAGGCTGTTATTACCCCCATTTACAGATGGGAAAACTGAGCCATGATCAAATAGAAACACACACACACACATGCACACACACCCCTTAAGGGCTGAGAGCACAACCATTTATTCTGAGTGCTAAATAAGACAGTCTTAAAAGGGCAGGAAGCCAGAGAATGGAGAAGATGGGTGAGCGAGGCCCCAGGCAGAAAGTTCTGGGCGGGGCCACGGGTGGGACAGGAGGAGGTAGCTTCCGACCTTCACTCTAGGACCTGACCCTCTCAAAGGGGTAAATACCCAAGTGAGCCCTGAGGATCCAGAAGCAGCCAAGCGTCTTCCAACCCAGAATTCCACCTGGACACACTCCCTACCACCGTGTCCCTTTCTGCTATCTGCCCAGGAAAGCTGCTACGACTCAGCCATCCTTGCAGCGACCGTCCACGGCGCCCTGCAGTGCCTCAGGTGCTCTCCCAGGGCCCAGCCCACGGCGGTGAACAGACAGTCAAGGCCCCGACCTCACGGGGCTGGCTCTCCAGTGGGGAGAATGGCTCACCCATGAATAAATGTATTATGTAACTTTAGGAGCTACTAAGTGCTATGGAGAAATTCTTTTTCTTTTTTTTTTTTTCTTTCCTGTTCTCAGGGGACAGAGGTAAGGGAGGGAATAAATTATCTTTTAAAGAAGCCTCACTATTCAGCACCTCGGTTACCTTGGAACAGATGGTCTGCCCTAGACAGGCAGCCCATCTAGGGACTGGAGAAGCCCCTTAGCCTGTTCACGGCTTCCTTCTCTCCTAGCAGGGAGGCAGACTGGGGCCAGTCCCCTCCTTTTCCTTCACTTCAATGTTCTCACCTTTTAATGAGTGTTTCTCAAAGTGTGCTCCATGAGGGATTCTATGAAAAGTTAGTTTCAGGTCAAGTAAGTTTGGGAAACAGTGAATTTGGGCCACGTTTTTTTCTGCAAAGTCACACATAGGCTCCTCACGGCTCTGGAATGCTGAGCCTAGCAGAACGTGCTCGGACTGTTTTCCTTAGCATCTCTCAGACCTGAGAGCACGGAGCCCTGTCCCCACCTGTCCCCACTGGCAGCTCCTGGCAGGGAGCTCTGCAGAGCATTCTCTGGGAAGGGCCCCACACCGCCCCTGAGGGTCAATCCCAACCTTCCATGATGCTGTCCCTCCACAGCTGGTGCCTTCGAGGCGCCAACGGGCACTCAGCATCACCTGCACATCAGGGCAGAATTCGGGGCCAAAAGGTCCCAGGAAGGAGCTCATGCACCCCGTCTTTCATGCATTCAGATATGCATCACGCCCACAGTGAGGCTCACGTGAAGGAATGGCACCAACCCGCCCCCACTCGTGGGCAAGATTCTAGATGCTTCTTGGAAGCAGGTGTTGAAGAGATGTTGGAAGGGTTGCAGATACCGAGTGAAAGCTCACGTACGAATGTTTCTACAACCTTCTTGCTATTGTGTGCTTAATTATTTTAAAGCAGACTTTACACTGAATTCCAGGAAAACTAATTCAGCTGTGCAAACAACAGAGCTGGCTGCCACTTTGTTCTTCTGTTGCATTTCAATGATCTGAATTTGTAAAATAAAGTTCATAAATATTTAAGAATTGCTTTTTTGAGCTGCCACTCTTTAAAAGAGCACGGCCATTAATTTTCCCATTTTCTGTGTGTCTGCTGAGGCTCCGCCAGAAACCAGGTAAGAAACCGTACTCGTTCAGAGCATGGGACCCTATTTGCAGTTAGGAAACGTTATTTACCCTCTCATTTCTCACCCATGTGGCACACCACTCAAAACAGCATCGCTTTCCATCAGCTGGGACGGGACTTGACTCACGGAACATCTGCACCAGTAGGCACGAGCCCTGGCTTCCCGCCGCCTCCAGACCCACGCTCGCCAGCATAGTGGCCAAACTATGCACCTGCTGAGTCAAGTGAATGAACACCTGACACCCTCAGTCACACTAGCTACATTCTGAGTGCTCTGTGGCCACATGGGGTCGGTGAGAACTGGACTGCATGGTGCCGATCTGGAACATTTTCAGCAAACAAAGCACAGCTGGATGGTGCTGATCTAGAAGGCAGCTCTCCGGGCCGCAGGCTGGTCCACGGAGGAACGTGGGCCCCGGTGTGTGGGTGAAGGTACACCACGTGGTCACACTGCCGTTCCCGCACTGGTGTGGCCTCCCCTGCTAGAAAACCCTCACTGTGCAGTTGCTCGTTTAGAATCACCCACCTCAGGAGCTTTCACAAACCCCAGGGCTCTGCGGCCCCAGGCTGATGAAAGCAGGCTTTCTGGGCTGGGGACCCGGCATCAGAATTTCCGGAGAGCTCTCAGGGCGATTCCAGCACAAAACTACGGGGGCAGGGCTCAGAGACGGTAGAACGTTGCTCACTGGGCAGGCAGGGCCGGGTCCTCCTGGCCAGGACTCCTGAGCATGCAGCAGCTGGCCCAGGGGGCACTCAGCAGACATCTGCGGGGAGGAGGGCAAGCTCTCCCCGCCCCAGTGTGAGAACAGCCATGGTCTCCCAACAGCAAAAGGGAAGAGAGGGAACGGGGTGCTCTGCACAGGCCATGCTGCACGCTCTCGCCGACAGCCCCAAGCCCAGCACAGGGACAGCCCAAGCCTGGCGGGGTCGCAGCCCAGCACGGTCACCTGTGCGCACAGCTGGGAGCAGCCGCCTCTGGGGGGCATCCGACACCGTCCCAATCTCCTCCTCCCCCCAGAATGGCATCCTGAGAGCAGCTCATCATCAACGAGCTCCCGTGCCTATAACCATGGTGACTACAACCAGGACACCTTTGAGACAAAAAGGGGGTGCTATGAAAAACTGCAGGGGAGACAGGTGGAAAGCAGCGATGCACTGGGCAGGCCAGGATGCTCAGCCTCCCCGCGGGCTTGTAGAGCAGGGCTTGTGGGCTCAGAGACCAGTTTGCGGGCAGGATCCGGGGATCCAGAGCCACGGCCACCAGCCCTCATGGTGGGGGCGGGGGGGGGCACGACTACCCAGGCCATGGCAGCCTGCTGCCTGGTGGCCACCGGCTTTATTACCAGCTGTGCAGTACAAGGTGCCATCCATCCCAAGGCCATGCTGAGTGCACAAGAGCCACGCACAGAGCCCGGGACAGAAGCGGGTGCCTGAGACCGGAGAGGGCAGGGTGCGGAGCACCGGGAAATCCTTCACTAACAGCTGCCGTACGTACGTACTTTTCAAATGCACAGAGTCAGACTTCTCACTGCCCGGTAGAGCTGCTAAAATATGAAGGACTGACCCTCTAACGGTCACTGAATCATCAGAACGTTGTAAATGTGACCGAGGGAAACCCCGGTCATTAAATGGCGGAGGGCGGTGAGGCCAACTTGGAATCAGACAAAGTCTAACAATACAGAAGGTAGATAACTCGGGGCCACGTCTCCTCTGAACTGTAACATGCAGACCGAAGGCGAGCTTGACCCTTCACCCAGCTCCACGTGCAGCAGCCAATTTCTGAATTTCTGCCACCAAGACCAAAAGCACCCTGGGGCTTACTAGACCCCGAAGCACCTCCTTTCTGACGCAGATTAAACTGAGCTCCCGGAGACTCATTAGATGCACTGCGTTTCCTGTCTTCCCAAAGCCTCACTTTTTGGAAGGCAACACTTAAGTATTTTCATTCTGGCTTGGCCACAAACAGATAAAAACCCCCGCCTCTCCCTGCGCCCTCAGCCTCCCTACCTCACACTGAAGGCCCAGACCCCTTCACGCTTCGTCCCTGCACGGTTCCCTGCAGTCAGACCTGCACCACACGGCCCCGTGTCGCCACCGTTGTGTGCATCGCTGGGGGACAGAACCACACCCACACGGTCCCCAGCAGGAAGTGGGGCCACAGTGAATTTCAGTGCGTCAGACCAAAGGCCTGACAAGGACACAGAGACACTCCTAGCAGGCACGGTGCCCTCCCTCCCTCCTGTCCGCACCCAACAAACTCGGCTGGACTTGAATCTTCCCTCCTCCTCTCCTTCTTCCCTCCCTCCTTATAGCTCCTCCTTCTAGCCAACTCCTCACATCTAGGGACCCACCTATCATAGGTTAAAATACTCAGAATCCACAAGTTAGGCTACCCCCTGAGGCTGGCTCTGTGTGCTCACCCAAAGCTACTAGCCTCTCCCTGGGGCGCATGCACAGGAGCCAGGGGCTGTGCTCCGAGGACAGAGGTGAGACCCTGGGGGCCCGGGTGCGGCATGCACGCCCTGGCCGCTGCCTGAAACCGGCTCTCCCTCCCTTGTCTAATTTAGGATGTCCATACCGGTCCAAGCAACTGCTAAGACGACATCACCAAGTGAAGAGAGGAGGCAAAGCATTTGGGGATTGCACTCTGCCTAGATACTCCCTGCGGGGGACTCAGAACCAACTTTACAGGAAAACAGGTGCCCTCTTTTAAAAATAGTTCTATTTAAAGAAGGTTCTGGGATTCAATAAATCTGGGATACACTGAGTTAACCCCCCATGCCCACACTTAAATTGTAGGTCCTCTGAAAGCTTGACATATTTTCAAGGAGATAAGAGCACCTAGCATTACCCAAACTCTTTTGTGCACAAAGCCCATATTTTACAAATATCTATTATTTTCTTATGGGAAAACTGCTTTCTAGAACATTGTCCTCTGGACACATAGGCCATGGGTTAGGCCTAACAGACCTTCACTTCTCTGTCTTGTTTTCAATGAGGACAGAAGTTCGGGGTGGGGGTGTGTGTTACGCTTCCAAGACAAGTTGTGTGTGTATATGTGTGTCAGACTGAAGCTAGTAATTATTAATATTTTCTATTTAAGCCAGTGTTATCTAATAGGCAGGGACCAATAATGACTTTGGTAGCAGCGACAGGGTCTGTGCCTATTAAGCTGGGACCCAGGCAGGTGTTTATCAGCATGCTTGGAGATCAGACTCAGAGGCAGACACAGAACAGGTGCTTTGGGGACGAGCACACGCCAAAGGGACGACAGGGGTGGCAGGAAGATGAGGAGGAGGAGGAGGAAGAGGAGGAGATGAAGGCTACCAGCCCTGTAGGCCTGCCTTGACAGAGGGATGCTGGATGTCAGTGTTAACCACTGCGCCCCTCGCTGTGGTAGCAGAGCCTGGCCCGAGGCTGACGGCAGGCTCCACGCGTCTGTCCAGATCTGGGACATCCCACCTGAGCCTGCAGCTGCCTGCTAGCAGGTGACCAGCTGGGGCCAGGTGCTACCTCAGACATCCCGGGTCACAGGAGAAAGGCAGCAGCCAGGACTTGTAAGCTCAGGGCCCCCTCCGTGTTCTCTCTGGGCCTCCAGGGGCTCAAGCCCACCCCCTTACATACCTGGTTCCCCCCTGCATTGTGACACTCATAGACTCCAACGACACCATCAGCAAAATGTCCCAAAGTGTCCAGGCAGTTGGTTCCCTGCTGCAAGGCCCCAAAAGCTATATCCTGGTGGTCAGGGACCCTGGAAAGCAAGAGGAGAATCATCTGCTTAATTCTGCAGGCCCCCCGGCTCCCGCCCCCTTGCTCGGTGATTCCGTGTCCAGCAGCAGGAACCACGAGAGGAAGGCCTCACCCCCCGGCCCCTACTGCTCCTCCCACAGGCGGCCTGTGTCAGCCGGGCGGCATCTCTCGCACCTCCTGGATTTCTAACCCTAAGTGAAGATTTCAAGTTGGAGAAGCATTCTTTCCCTATCTGGAAAATGTTTCTGGAAAGGAAAAGCTCCTATATTCTTCAGTGTTGGCCTGCTGGAAGTTCTTTAGAAGAGCAATTCCTGAGGTCAGATCCTGTTGCCTTGAGCTTCCCAGCAGACTTAGGATCTGAGCTTTACCTAGTAGAGGGGGGAACTTGAGTGGCTCTGTCAGGCGGCCTGCCACCAATAGAAACAGGGCACAGTGGGCGGGGGCCACATGCCTCAGGCCTGGATCCGAGTCTGTGCCCGGCCGGGCCCTGTACTGGCTGTGTCATCTCTCGGACCACCCCCCCAAGCCTCAGCGCCCCCTTCCGCACAGCGCCTGTAAAGCGTCACTGTTGCACGTATCCCATACAACGTTTCACCGTGAGCACGGGCAGCCCGGTGCCTGGCGCAGGAGGTGCCCAGCGAACGGCAGCGATTACTACACACACAGCACGAGTACTGGGTCGGGGTCTCCCTGGCCGGGCTCGGGTGGGGGCAGGCAGATTCGCCTGCTGCCGTGGTGCTCGATGCTCTGGATATGGTCTTACGTGGCACAGGCCCGATGTCACCCCACATCATGGGCGTCCTCACGGTGAAGCTGCATTTAATGTCACTCTGTCTGGCATCATTACCCAGCAAATCACAGACAACCGTGACGGCAAAAGCAAAGTGGGTACCATTACGGGGCCACGAGGCCCTGGTGAGAAGCACCGCATTGGCGGGGAGAGAGACAATGCCCAGGGGCCTCCCCCGGGTGACCAACTCTGCTCGCAGGCCCCAGCGAAAGCCGTCTGTCACAGAGGGGCCAGAGGGAGGAGAACGTCTGCTCTCCCCGCTCCTCGGGGCAGGGCCACCATGTCGTACACCACTTCTCAGGCACAGGAAACAGTTCCAGGGGCTGATGGCTGTGAAGAGCAGCGCTGGGGCAAAGCCGCATTCTCTAACTCTCAAACAAATCTCTGGGACAAGGGCTCTGAAGGAGCTGTTAGCCCAAAGGGTAATGGTGGGGACTCCCGCATTCATGGCCCGTGTTGGGGGTGTGCGACCCGCTGGGAAATGCCCGGGCAACATGCAGAATAAGGAATGTGCCGCATTAAAGCAAAACGGTCCGGCAATCCCTTTACGAAGATGAAGTTCGGATGGGTCCCGAAACCCACAGCCCTGCAGCCCTGATGAGGGTCTCAAGTGCTCCCTTAGGACGCAGAGCTCCCATTAATTTAAGATGGAACAGCGGGTGTCGAGAGCAGACGCAGAAGAGTACTTCTGCCATCAGCAAGTCTCCTGGAGGGAAGCAGGGGAGTGGCGTAGCGGATTTACTGTTCCGTCTGCGCCCAGGTCGGCACTGACCTCAGCTCCAGACGCTCACTCACGAGGGCAAGACGAGCGAGGAGGGCGAGGCCCTCGGAGCCAGAACAGGGAGGCCGGGCAGACGCACCCGTTGGGCAGGGAGGGCCCAGAGAGCACACCGGGGTGGGGTGGGGGGAGCTGGGCGCTGCTCCTCGGGTGGCTTACAGAGCCCATGAGACAACAGCCCTTGTCACTTAGCCCCTGTCCTCTCACCAACAGGGCATGACTAAACGAGGCGCCACCTGGGACCGTTCCTGCCTCTGTGGGGAATGGGAAGGTCACGCAGCAGGAGGCCACCATTCAGGGAGCGTGTTCCCAGGGGTGCTTAGGGACAGCTGTGGGGTGAGCCCCAGCTCCCGGCCTCTCGCCAGGGGCACAACCTTCATTTGTCACTTTTCGGGGCCTCCCCGCCTCTCTGACATCTGCAGCTCCTAAGCCCTTACAAAGCGAGACCCTGATCCCTAGCGGCTTACCTTAGTTCTGGGTAGACATTTTCCAGGTACCACTTGAAAGGCTTGCAGCTAAGTTTCTTCCTGAGCTCCAATCGGCTCTGAATACTGGAGGACAGGGAAATAAGATTCCTTTACCAATTTTAAGAATGGACAAGCTCCCTACATCAAATCTGGAAAGCTGCTGCTGAGAAGAGGATTGAGGCAGGCGGTGGAGCTTGGACTGTCCACACTCCTGTCCCTGTGGCCCTGGCCCACCTCCCATGCGCCTCCTGCCTTGGGTCCTCACCCGGCCTTGAGCAGAGGCCCCTGCTTTGACACCTGGGCGACAGTTCCCGACTCTGGCAGCAGAATGGTTCGTGGGGTGCGGGATGACCACAGGCTCCCCCCACCCCCCGGGATCCCAAGTAAAGCAGCACGAGAGGGCTCAAGTGACACTTACTTTCCATAAGGAACGTTTCTGGCAGAAGGCACTGCTGCGTAATAGAAATTTTTGTATTCGTCCATCCAGACCTCTGCTGCCCGGCGGGTGTTACTAGAAACAAAATAAATCTCCTTGAGCTGTGATTTGCTTCCTTTCCATCAGCATCACTCTGTGTGCACATGTCTGCTTGGAGGGATACTTAGGAAGGTCCTCCAAGGTGGGCCGGCAGCTGGGGCAGGGATGCAGAGCAGGCCATCTCCCCGCTCGGCACCCGGGCCCGGATTTGCAGGTAGCGGGCATTCAGCGGGTGCTTACTGAACCAACAGAACTCGCCTTCTCATCTTTCACAGAAACAGATTGTCAAAGAGCAAAAGTCAGAGTTAGAACTGCAGCACAGGCAGGTCCCGGGAGGAAGAGACTGGAGCTGGACCAGCAAGAAGGACGCGGAGTGTCACCACGGTAACCTGCATTATGTACGCATAGGAGGCTGGCATGGAAGAGTACAACCAAGAAATCCTTGGCCTCTATGGTCCTTCTCATCACGGCTGTCACATTACTAGATAGCTCTGGGGAAAAGTTACAAATAGATAAGAATTACTATTAAAAAGACTTTACTCCCTGCAGACCTGAGCTGAGAGAGTGTCCTGTTTGGACAAGGAAGAGTGATGGGAAGGGGAGAGAAGCCTTCTGCCCCACATCTGGGGCTCCGACTGACCACACTGTGCTAGAGGGACCCACATAGAGCGGCCTTTTCTGCCAGGCAAGAAAACCACGTGCTCCAATCTCAAAACCATGATGCGTGATCATTTAAGGCCACTGCAACAAGCTACTTCTGCATATACGGCCGGTGTGCAAGGCTCCCACGTGCGTGGGCGTCAGCACCTGACCCTGCCCACATTGTTCTCACACACGTATGAAGCAGCATTCATACCGTGAGCCTCTTTGCTCCCGTGTCCTGGACTCGGTTCCAAAGTAGACTCACTCCTCCTTGAGAACCCATATGGAAGACATTATGTTCTTCCAAAATAAATACATTAGGGAGGCAATGTTCACCTTTGAAAAGAATTCCTTTTCTCTACCAGAAAGGTCTCTTTTAAACGGTGAGCCTTTCAAATTACCTGAGCTACGATTATTAAAATAATTTCTACTCGGGGCATCTATCTTTCACAGTGATGTATAGCCCTTTTTTTCTCTTCGTGCAATAGAAGATGAACTGTTGTAAATGCCATTTACGAGACAGGCAGGACCATATGAATGAACACACCCCCTCCTCTGATCCGGCAGTTCCCACTTCTAGAACTTTACCTCAAGGAGAATATATAGCTGAAGATATGCTCACTTCAGCATTACTTACAATGGTAAAAAAAAAATTTTAGAAACCCTATGACCATCGACAGGGAAATGATGAAATAAATGGATGACTCTGCAGTCACTGAAAATCCTGGTGGACATCTGACCTGCTGCCGTGGAACGATGTCCCCCTGGCTGGTTGTTGGGTGAGAGACCAGGGCACGGGAGGTCTGTGTGTGCAGGGAGGAGAAGGGAGGAGGAGGGACGGAAGGGGGGTGAGAGATGGGCCCGCCACATTATAAGACTGCTCTCTTTGGTAATGAGATTGAGGATATTTTTTACTCTCGCCCTGTAAGAAATACATACGTACAGCCATGGGCATCTAAAGATTTGAAGTGCCTGGGATGCTGGAACATAAGCATTATTTCTCAGACGAGCCATTAAATACTCTTACTGGGATTTTGGAGGCTTCCAAAGTGGCTCATACCTCAATTTACGCCCAATCCCTAACCTGCTGTGCGACTTCAGTGCTCTGGGACTTGGACTGCTCATCAGTAAGATGAAAAGGATTGGATTCAAGCATCTCCTAGGTCCCTTTTAGCCCTAATGGCTTCAAGGTTTTGTGAATTCCAATCACACAGTGGTTTTGAATCACTTAAGTCATTAAGTAATTAAGTTATTTCTTAATTCCTAAATGCAATGCAACACCTTTCTACTTACTGGAGAAAGATATGTACGCAGCCTCAACGAGTCGGCTCCATATGCTACTCAGTGCTAGTTTCAGTTCATTCATTCCAACGTTTATTGGGTACCTGCCAGATGCCAAACAGTCCTCTTGGTGCTATGACTACCTTGGCCCCCAGAAGGGTTCACTTTGATTTATCTGGCTTCTCCTCGCTTGCGCTTCCCCTCCGCCCACCCGTATACTCAGGGCAAAGCAGCTCTACCAGGAAGCAGGCAGCAGAGAGAAAGTGTGATTCGCATGGGCCAGCTCTGCTGCTTGGCGGTAGTGACAGAAGAAAGTTCCGTAAGAAACTAACTTTAAACCATTGGTTTCCTCTATTTAATTTCAATCGTATTAGTAAAGTCTTGCCATTAACTCTACACCTAAAACCATTTTAAATATCCATCTAAGGATCTACCCCACGGCCACACTGCTATTCTGATTGGGACCTTCCCCGCCCCCGGGGGGAACTCTAATTAACATACCACTCAAGCACACACACAACGCCCTCCAGTCTCTGCAGGGGTTTGTGGGAAACTAACTGGAAATGCAGTGAAAAACAAACCACCTGGATCACTCTCAAAATGGTCTTAAGGGATGTGGCTGCCATCACCAGGGACAGGAAGTAAGAATTTGCAGGTGGGGGCGCCTGGGTGGCTCAGTCGTTAAGCGTCTGCCTTCGGCTCAGGTCATGATCCCAGGGTCCTGGGATCGAGTCCCGCATCGGGCTCCCTGCTCTGCGGGAAGCCTGCTTCTCCCTCTCCCACTCCCCCTGCTTGTGTTCCTGCTCTCGCTATGTCTCTCTCTGTTAAATAAATAAAATCTTAAAAAAAAAAAAAAGAATTTGCAGGTGGGTCACATCGTCTTACCCTTTCAGTGCAGGTGCCCACGTGCACACCCGGGGGTGGTAAAACAACGTGAAGACCCCACTGGGGCTACTTGCTCCATTCATTCATTCATTCACTCATTCATTCATCATTAACTTACTCACTGACAGACTAACCTACACAAATGAGATCAGCCTCCACACCCTGTTCTGTTGCCCATTTTAGAATCTGTACCTAATGGACAAATTGCGGCGACCTCAGACACTAGCTGCCCCTATGGATCTAGATTAAAAAGATCAACGTGTGGTGACGACATGGAGTCTGGAGCCCAACTGCCCAAGTGGCAACCCAGCTCTGGCACTTTCCGGCTGCGTGAACTTGGACTGAGGGACTGAAACTTTTTGTGCCTTGGTTTCCTTTATAGCACTTCATTCATAAGGTTTTATGAGAATGATGTAAGCTAGGATTTGTCAAGTACTCAGAACAGCCAGACGCACACAAAACACTATATAAGTGTTAGCTATTTGTGAAGTCCCAAATTTTTAAATCATGAAATACTTATACCTTAATGCCACAGATTAGAGAAAATCAGAGAGAACTCGAAACTGGAAAGGGATCTCAGAAATAATGTAATTCTACCTCCTTATCTTTTAGCTGAGTCCATGGAGGCAGAGGGCCGCAGAACCTCACAGAAGGCCAGCAGATCTCTGCTGCCCCAAATATGGAAAGCCTGGGTCTGTCTTCTCTCTAGGCCTCTAGTGTTCAGGCTCCTGGGCCACAGAACAAGAGTGAGGAAGTTTCCCTTCTAAAGAAGAGTGCTTTTAAAAAAACAAAGCGTATAAAGCAATGTTCTGTGTATGTTAACAGATTCTTAGAATTCTAAGGGCCTGCCATGTGCTGGTAGTGACCAATGGCTTTGATTTGGGTATTTGATATGTCTACCCAGGAGGTTTTGGGGAGGAATCTCGCGTTGTCCCTGGGAAAAAACATATCAATCACTGTTTGATTTTGTAGAGCTCACTGGATAAGAACATATTTTTGTTTCTAATAAAAAGCAGTAATGAAGTTAGATAACATTCGAGAAAGGACAGGCTTTTGAAAGAAGATAATTTGGTCAGAAGTTACTTGCTATTTGGCTTCATTTAAGTTTCCCAGAACCCAGAGTCTCTATGCTAAAACTAACTTCTATGTAATACATGTGTATTGTGCGATCTGTACTTTGAATCAAGGTTTTAAAATGCTATACAAGAGATAACCTAGTCATTCTCCCCAACTCATTTCCACCATCTCTCAAGTGCTCCTAGTTTGGTGGGGGCAGCAGGTCAGCAAAGTTGTAGGACCGAAGGCCAAGGACTTGCTCTTAATTCCTGGCTCTCCGTCCCCGGCCACTGCCAGGCCACGGTCAATGCTGCCTGCCGGAAGGTGGCTGGAGCCTGGCACCCCTGGGTCCAGGCCACCTCCTCTCAGCCCTGGGCCACTGCAACAGCTCTTACAAGTCTCCCCGCCCCTGCTCCTGGAGAGGAGGGGAGGGACACCTGCACCATCATTTCCTCCTGGTGTCACCTCGCTCTCTAAAGCTTAAAACAGAGAAGTCAGGTAACTGCTCAAAGGTCAGGCGGCTACAGCGGCTTCCCCCCGGCCTCAAAACAACCTCCAGTTTCCCACAACCCACAGGGGGGCTTGGCTGGGGCCGGTCTAGCCCCCCACGCTGTCTACTGTCCCCTCATTCTCTAGGCTCCAGTCCCACCTGGGGTCCTCCTGCTCTGAAGTCACACTGACCTTGGCACCGAGGACCTGCTCGTCCTGCAGGGAGTCCACAGCTCCTCCCTCCCACCTCTCGGGGGTCCCCTGGCTGCACGACACCCTGCCAACCTCTCCCCCTGTTCCTCTCATGCTCAACCACGTGACCATGTTTTATCTGTTTCATGGCATTTATCAGTGGTTGTGATCATCTTATTTAGCTATTCGAATACTGGGCTGACTACTCCCACCTCCCGGAGGCCAGGCGGGCTGGCTTGTATGCTGTTTTATCTTTAGCATCGAAAAGAATTCCCTAGAAAAAACCGTGGGCCCACGACTGGTAATCTGCCTATTTTCTTCGGAAAGCTCTTCATTTGGCATCTTTATGTTGCTCAAATGTATCTATTATCTATCACAGATCCTATCTACATGCCGTGTGGATTTCCTGGCTTGAATTCAGTACGGCTTAACTTACACACTGTTCACACATTGTTCCTTGGATGGTAATACATACAAAAAAAAAACAAGCTCCTCTTCTCTACAATCATGTTTCCTCATACATTTCTGGGGTTACAGTTGTATGAGCTTTCCCACGTGTACAGATCGGTGTGATGACCAACACATCAGGATGCAGCACGGCACCCTCAGCCTGGCCACCACGCCGGCTGCCCCTGTGTGGTCACTCCCCCCACCGGCCCTGTCCGCCCTCCATCGTTGTAGCTGCGTCTTTCTGAGACTGTCCTAGAAGTGGGATTGCAGGGGATGCGACTCTTCACTCAGCACACTGCCCTCCAGAGGGACTCGCATTGCTGTGCGTATGGGTGATCCTTGTCAATGGCGTGTGGTGTCCCAACGAAGGACACCTGTTTCCACGCAGCCCCAGGTTAAGTGCCGTCTGGGTAGTGGTCCCCAGTGGCCTTGTCATGACCACTTACCGGGCAAAGACCGTGCCACTGCCACCTGGGAAAGTGTAGGGGTGCTGCTTCCGGAACACGTGTCCCACGCGGCTGCAGGGGACGATCTCCAGGCTGCCACCACACTGCCACACGCGGAACGAGATCTCTGAGACGAGGAACGAGACGGGGTGACGCACAGAGCGTACCAACCCCCACCCACCACCATCCCATCGAAGGGCTCTCATGCCCTCAACGGCCGAAGGAGATGGGGATAAGGAACCTGCCTCCCTCCAGAACGTGGTCCTGAACTTTCTACAGTGGGGACATCCGACACACCCTGGGTCTCCCGGCTCCATGGCACGATCCGCAAAGTAGGTGCAGGCGGATGTGGCAATCAGCTTGACGCTAGTGACTATCTCACAAAGTACACATATGGCATATCATCAAGTCGTGTACCTTAAATGTATACAATTTCAAATTGTCAACAGGACCTCAATAAAGTTGGAGACACAAAAAAAATCGAACAGAAGTTCACACTCGGGTTCACTAGGAGGGTGTCTCCACAACAGTGTTGTTCTACAGAAATATAAAGGGACGTAGACAAAAAAGAAGAAAAACCTCAAACACATTACCTATGCTGGGACATGTGCGATCTTAGATTTTAGCACAGATCTGAATTATGGAAGCCAGTGAGATCTATGTTACCAAATCCCATGTTTTCATTAAACAATTCTATTCCAAATTCAAGCGAGAGAGACCACATGGAAACAGTTTTCAGATTCAGATGAGACACCTTGAGACAAATGTGAATCTTTGGTCCATCCTGAATATAAAGGACCCTGGGGAATAAGACCACGCATGTCCATATAGCATCATAGTATCGACCAGTGAAATGCTCAAACTGAATACTTCACTAGCTGGTTTGTGACCACGGGGTATGACATTTGCACTTGCTTAGTATCAACACTGTTAGCAAAGGCATCTCTGAAGGTGCATAAACATCAAAAGGCATGAAATGCCCACACAATGAAACTTTGATCTTAACTACTTAACAGGCCACTGTGTATGCTGTCTTCTCTAAAACTTACTTTCTGTGCACTGAGCACTACTATGCACCTGGGCTTTCTCCACCCAAGAGAAAAAATGCTTTTCTTAAACTTCAAAATTTACCCTTATTCATAACTACATTATTAGCAGGCTTCAAGTCACCTGGGAAGTTCACAGGTGCCTCTTGGACTATGGTAGTGACCAAAGACGCTTCAGTAACTCACAGATCCCTCAAAGCTGGCCACGGAGTTCACCAGCAGCCAGTCACCAGTGGTTCCCCTGCTTGGACACAGAATCGACCTAAGGAGTAACGAGATGCTCAGGGCTGGCACTGCTCAGGCCAACGTCAACACACACACCGCCCTGAGCATCTGTACTCGGGCAAAGCTCGGCACGTGGCTGGCCCGTTTGGAACAGCCCGGTACCGTCTGACCAGGCACCTGTCCTCACCACCAACCATCCGAGTGCCTGCAGCAGACGTCGTGGTTGGTATAAAAGGGCACTTCCTCAACATCAAGAACACAGTGAGGAGGCAAGACAGAATCCCCAGAATTAGCCATCACTGCTGCAAGTATAGAAGGATCAGAAGTCAGGTGGGATTACCGCAGACCCCGAGTGAGGTGCTGGGGAAATCCTCCAGACAGGGCCTCGTCTGTGACAGCAGGAGCCCAGACTGCACAGCTGAAGGTGCATAACTCCCACTCGGACAGAACAGCAGGAGCTCCTAGGACTGGGTCCGGCAAGCTGAAGTATAGGAAACACCCCACTGGCTGGAAATGAGTGATCCACACAGCTGTTACAGGCCTTTCGTAACCAATTCCCTCACAGCCTTGAGAAATGTAAGGTCATGACCACCCAAGCCTCTGCAATGAAGGGCTTCTGACTTTCTTTCTTAGCGTCCAACAACACTTTGAATAAGAAGTTCTCTGTATTTCAGGACATAAAATTTAAATATACGTTTGCCTAACTGGAACATTCAAACTTGGGGGCTAGGAAGGTCCTGTGCCTTCTCTATGGGAAAGCTGTTAAACCAGGAGGGGGGATCCAGTCAGGGATCTGGTTGGAGATTCTGAAGGCCACATACAATTACAATTACATTCAGCTCTGATTTCACTTGAACTCGGCGACACGCTACAACGTGCGAATGGTTCCTCAAGATAACTTGGTGGATTTTGAGTTAGGCAGTTTGTGTTTGCAGCTTGGCCTTTGCTCTGAGGTCTTAGGCAAGATCTCGGTCCTTCAAGAAAGCATGAAATGAAGTGTACGGAGTTGTCAAAAATCTTTATGTTGTGCACCTGAAACTAACGAAACTGTAACACTGTGTGTTAGCTATCCTTTAATTAAAAAAAAAAAAAAAGCGTAAAATGAACTAATATACTGGAAGCAGATGGCCTCTATCCTAATGCTGTGGGGACACGAACGAAGGACAAATATGCCCAAGGAGGCTGTCCCCTGTGTCTCCCACGGGCTCAGGATCAGGTTCTTCGACTTTTTAATTGCTTACATTAGGCCCACACGACCAGCTAGGAAAAGTGGAAGCCGCAGCGGTTCTTTAGTTTGGGGGGCGGGTGTATTTGGAGGAGGTGGTTTTGGATTTTACTCCTGCATCCCTGCACCCCACCTCTCCCGACACACATCCACGCACGCCTCGCAGTCCGGACAGCTGCCGGATGTGCAGCCAGCGCTCAGAGAAAGAAGTCACAGCAGTCTCAGAAAGAAAGAATCAGACTGGGGACTTCCCTTGCTGGAATCTATACGCCTGCTTGACCTCTGAGGACAGTGGGAAGACTCATCGGGAGTGGCTTTACCGAGCTAGGCAAGGGGAGGGAAGGTGCCAGATGGGGCCCAGGCAGGGGCTGCTCCAGCCCCTCCCTCCCTGCCCGCCCCACCCTGACCCCAGGCCCCTCAAGCCCTTCTGGGGAACCTCCCCTATGGCACAGCTCCATGAAAATAAAACCAAACCACCACCACCACCAAACCAACAACAACCAAACCAGGTCATTTAAGAAAACTCTCCGCCGGGGCGCCTGGGTGGCTCAGTTGGTTAAGCGACTGCCTTCAGCTCAGGTCATGATCCCAGGGTCCTGGGATCGAGCCCCGCATCGGGCTCCCTGCTCGGCGGGAAGCCTGCTTCTCCCTCTCCCACTCCCCCTGCTTGTGTTCCCTCTCTCGCTGTGTCTCTCTCTGTCAAATAAATAAATAAAATCTTTAAAAAAAAAAAAAAAAAAGAAAACTCTCCGCCTTCTTCTGGTCTCTCTGTGAAATGTCCCATTTGATGCTTCAGTCAACACTCTACCCTGTGACACAAAGGCTGGCCGCCACCTCATCCGCCTAATCCATGCTTTCAGGTAATAGCACACATTTTGAAAATCACTCGGTGGCTTCAGGAGATGGTCACCTAAGTGATGCACTGTCCTACTGGGGGGTCCTGGCTGGCCGGGTCTCCACGAAGCCATCAGGAGACGTCTGCGGAGCGAGGGTGACTGAGAATTCTCAGAAGATTAATAATACTTCTGAAGCCTTTCGTGCTCAAATGACGTTAATACAAGTCCTCCCTACCTGTCAACGTATCGTTAAAAAAACCAAAAGGAGTTTGACTCATGGTCCTTTGTCCCAGTGTAGTTACTGAGCCTAGAGAAGCTTTCAACATCAAACCACGGCAGACAAATGCTCTGCAGCGGAGATGTTATCACGAACTTTCACATCATAAAATGAGAGAAAAATAAAAGGCTAGTCTCGTTTTTTTTTTCTCTTTTAAACAAAAAAATATCCAAGTTTCTGTTACAGGTAAAACTACTAAAAATGACAGTGACGTCATGTTTCCCCCTTTGTCCCTGCCCTGCTTTCTCCCAGGGCACGCCCACCCACGGCCGGTGTAATGAATTCAACAGCATCAGTGGCTGAGGAGACTCAGTTCGGAACCCCCGGCAGAAAACCCTAAACAAACAGTAAAACAAAATAAGAAGAGTCTTTCTATCTTAATGCAATAAATATGATGCGGCTAGTAATGTAGACAGAAGTCTATAAAATTTCATTGGCCCTAAACCTAAGGAAAACTGATTTGCATGGGTTATTAAAAACAAAAACCAAAAAAAATCAAACCAAATTAGAACCATTCACAACATAGTCAAGAAGGGCTTAAACGCCAAGGCCTCTCAGCTCTGTGTGATTTCCTGCATCACAATTCATCCACACCACGAGGCTGGCCCGGGCTGGTTTCCACCCCACATGGTGGAACACGGATCCCACAGCCTGTTCCCCACGTTTGGAAGCTCGCTGTCCAAACCCTCGGATCCAAAGGATGTTAAAGAATTTGCCATTCCCTTCAAGGAGACTGCCTGTCTTCTAGCATCCTGCGCTCTAACTTAGGGCGACAGACTTAACGCCCAGCCCCAGACACTGTAGTGGAAGCGATGCTATTTATACTTACTCAGGGACTGACGGTGTGTGATGAATGGTGATTGAGGTCTTTACAGTTGTTTTTTTTTTTTTTTTTTCCAACTGGCTCCCTGCATACCACCTGCTCTTGCCTAACAGCCTCCTCAAAGCTTCCACTTTTCATTTTGAAGCCCTTGGTGGGTAGGAAAAGGCCATCCAATTTATCAGAATTGGAAAGCGAAGACACAGGCTCTCACGTACCCAGGTTTTCTCCTCCCCACACGTCCATCATCATGTCATACTTCCCCAGTTCTTCAAAGTAGAGCTTGTCCATCACGAAGAGCCCGCCAGCAATCATAGGGGTTCTGAAAAGGTGGAGAGGGTGGAATGGGAGAGGGGGATGGGCCAGAGGTCAGGGTTAGATCTGCATTCTAATACCAAGGTCAGGTCTACAAGCTGACCTTAAAAACCCCGGTGCAGCCATGGCTCCCATTTGGAGCTCGGGATGCTCTCACTGCTGACTTCAAATGCCTCCCACCTGCCCTGCTCAGGCACTCCCACCGCGGAGTAGTGTCCCCTCCGAGAGAGTGACCGTTGGAGCTGGGGGCACTCACTGACAAGCAGCCCTAGGCAAGTACTTGGGCTCTCTGTGCCTCAGTTTCCTTAGAGGATTTCAAAAAACCATACGTACAAGCCCTCAGCACACTCGGGAAATGCTCGCTAGTGTCAGCTAGCCTCCTCCTTATCCTGGAGCCGGTTCCTCCCGTTAGCGGGGACCATCACTGCTGTGCTTCCTCAGCCTGGGAGGAGGCTAACTGAGTCCCTACTTCCTTCCCAGGAGATGCCCTGAGAACTCAACTTCGAGTGCTGGAGGTCTAGAGCACACTGTCATGTTGGATAAATGCTAGCGAGTGCCGGTGGTCAGTGTGGGTGGTCAGTGCCGGTAGTCAGTGCCGGAGGTCAGTGCCCAGAAGTCAGTG